AATAGGGCTCCACAGCCACTTACGGACCCACTGCCAAGACACTACACTTGGAGGACTATCATCCTCAGGGATCGCCTAAGTAAGTAAGTAATCTGGTGGAGCAAGAGAAGGCCTAGTTGACATGGATCCATCCACACTTGATCCCCACTATAAAGAAGAGTGTTCTGTAGTCATTTCTTAGTATTGTAACAAAAAGAATACAGTAGTTTGCTGTGAGTTTTCTGGGTTGTATGGCCATGATCCAGAAGCATTCTCTCCTGACGTTTCACCCCACATCTACGGAAGCATCCTCAGAGGTTGTGAGGTCAGTTGGAAACTAGGCAAGTGAGGTTTATATATCTGTGGAATGTCCAGGGTGAGAAAAAATTGTCTGTTTGAGGCAAGTGTGAATGTTGCAATTGGCCACATTGATTAGCACTGAATAGCCTTGATACCCCAGGCAGGAAGCCTGGCTGCTTCCTGCCTGGGGTATCCTTTGTTGGGAAGTGTTTTCATGTCTGGAATTCCCCAGTTTTCTGAGTGTTGTTTTTTATTTACTGTCCTGACTTTAGAGTTTTTTAAAATAAGGGTAGTCAGATTTTGTTCATTTTCATGGCTTCCTCCTTTCTGTTGAAATTGTCCGCATGCTTGAGGATTTCAATGGCTTCTCTGTGTAGTCTGATATGGTGGATACAGAGACACTAAATAGCTCTTCCTGAATGAACATCTGGCACAGAACGCATTTAGATTCAGACCTGTGAGTTTACAAGACCTGGTAGCAAGCCCAACTGTCTGAGTGCCAATAAACGCTGAGCTACGCTGCCGACACTAAGCAGAGATTAAATAATGAATTGAGGGTGTAATCCAACTGGGCTATTCTTCAAGCAAGCAAGGAACCATGAATTCCAGCTACAGTGCAGCAGCATAGGATGTTATAAGGGGGAGACGGCTGTGTAAACTTGCTGCGCTTGAAGGCAATCATTCAAAGGGCTATTTCCCTATAAATGAACAACCCTTCCACTGTTTCACAGCATAAGAGGTTCATAGTCCAGCCTTCAAACCTAGGAACTGATTAATATACACAACAGTGTTTAAAAGGCTTTGTTTCACCTCAGAGGCATTTCATGAATAATTTTAAGAGATCAGTCAAATCACACTGGCTGTAATAATGCTTTCAAACTGTTGCTATTGCCCAGATAATTTGGTACACTTTGAAAGGAGATTTAAAAATCAATTGGCCACAAAACCTTGGAGCGAATGACCACAAAGTGACCATTTTAAATATATATGTTTATGAAGAGAGTATGGAATTTATAGGCAAATGAAACTTTACGTTTACGAGTTTTAGAACTGCGACCAAAGACAACACATTTATTTTTCTACCACCCAAGACATCACATCTCTAGATGACAACCTTCCATACTAACTTCACCAAAATGAGACAAAGACAACTGTATGCAATACCTATTCTAAATGCTTGCTTTTAGTGTACTTAACTACATTCCATGTGTGTTTGAAGGCTCTCATGGCTAGACTAACTGGGCTGCTGTGAGTTTTCTGGACTGTATGGTCATGCTTCAGAAGCATTCTCTCCTGATGTTTCGCCCACATCTATGGCAGGCATCGTCAGAGGTTGTAAAGTCTGTTGGAAATTAGGCAAGTGAGGTGTATATATTTGTGGAAAGTCTACAGTGGGAGAAAGAACTCTTGTTTGTTTGAGGATTCCCCCAGGCAGTAAGCAGTCAGGTTTTGAAGCTGCAAGGCCATTTAATGCTAATCAAAGTGGCCAATTGCTACATTAACACTTGCCTCAAACAGACAAGAGTTATTTCTCCCACCCCAGCTAACACCACTCAACAAAGGATTCCCCCAGGCAGCAACCAGCCAGGAATTGAAGCTGCAAGGCCATGAAATGGTAATCAAGGTGGCCAATTGCAACATTCACACTTGCCCCAAGCAGACGAGTTCTTTCTCCCACCCTGGACATTCACAGATGTATAAACCTCACTTCCCTAGTTTCTAACAGACCTCTCAACCTCTGAGAATGCCTGCCATAGATGTGGGCAAAATGTCAGGAGAGAATGCTTATGGAACATGGCCATACCGCCCGGAAACTCACAGCAATCCAAAAACTACATTCCTTTAATTTATCAGCTTTAACTTTATAGTATGTGTTGTAAAACAGCTGACTGTCTTCAATACAGCATACAGAGTTGTAGGAATTTTCAAATACACACTGCTTCTTTTCCAATTTATTATTTACTACATTTCAACCTCGCTCTTCTCACCCTGAAAGGGACTCAGAGCGGCTTACAGTTTGGCCCCTTCAGTGCCACATTGCAAATGCACAGTGTATTAATATAATACAAAGGAGCCCTTGGTGGCGCAGTGGGTTAAACCCCTGCACCGGAGGACTGCAGACCGACAGGTCGCAGGTTCGAATCCGGGGAGAGGCGGATGAGCTCCCTCTATCAGCTCCAGCTCCTCATGCAGGGACATGAGAGAAGCCTCCCACAAGGATGATAAAAACATCAAACATCCGGGCGTCCCCTGGGCAACGTCCTTGCAGACAACCAATTCTCTCACACCAGAAGTGACTTGCAGTTTCTCAAGTCGCTCCTGACACAAGATATATATATACATACAATACAAATCAAAGCACATTTAACATAAAATATAAGACAAAAAATCACACAAAGCATAATAATGCCCATACATGAGATATAAATAAATATTAAGCATTAAAAACATTTTAAACCAATTACAATTATTGTGGAGATTCATCAATTAATTAGTATAGTTTGCTAACCTCAGTTTTTGATTGCAATAAGTAAATTAAGGTTTCCCCCGACACTAAGTCCAGTCGTGTCCAACTCTAGGGGTTGGTGCTCATCTCCATTTCTAAGCTGAAGAGCCAACATTATCCGTAGACACTTCCAAGGTCATGTGGCCAGCATGACTTCATGGAGCAATGTTCCCTTCCCGCTAAGTGGTACCTATTGATCTACTCACATTTGCATGCTTTCGAACTGCTAGGTTGGCAGAAGCTGGGGCTAACAGCGGGAGCTCACCCTGCCTCCCGGATTCAAACCACCAACCTTTTGGTCAGCAAGTTCAGCAGCTAAGCAGTTTAACCCACTGCACCACCGGGGGCTCCAACTCTCATAATACATATTGGCAATGGTAGCCCCCAAAAGCAAGTACCTTTTTGAAAAGTTCCAAAAGTAGTATTATTCATATCAAAGCAGTTTTGGTTACTATATGACAAATGGCAAATCAATAGAACTGTTCTAAAGCCATTCTAGAGATAGACAACATCAATACGCATAGGCAGGCAGCCATCTATACCAACTACCATTCAAACAAAACTCAGGATGTCAGATCACAATAATGTTGTGCATGATATAGGAAGTTTGTTTTCCTTCCCCGTTTCCTCCTTAAGAAAGGAATGGAGAATCAAGCCTGTTATTTTTCTTTCCAACGTGAAATATAGTTCAAGGGGGAAAAGATCTTTTTTTAGCAACTTTTTTCCCTCCAGAGAAGTTGTGGAAAGGAAAAGCTGCAAGTGGGAGGGAGGCGGAGGCAGCAGCTGGAGAGGGAACTCACTACTTCTTCAGTCCAGCATCCCAGCAGGTTTCAAATCATGATTTTTTTTGGGGGGGGGGGGGGCTGAGACCCTTTTCTTCTGCCTCAATGGAGAAGAGAAGGAGAACAAGAACGAGAAAACAAGAATAACCTCTCCTAATATAAAAGTCTCTCCTAATATAACTTAATTCCAGACCGTAACAGAGGAAGAAGAAGGAAGAGCAAGAGGAAAAGGAGGAGTAGTAGGAGGGATGGAGAGAAGGAGAAGGAGAAAAGAGAAGAGAAGGAGAGAAAGAGAAAAAGGAGAGAAGGAGAAGAAGCAGGAGAGAAGTGGAGAAGGAAAAAGAGAAGGAAAAGCATTGAAGGAGAAGGAGAGAAGTGAAAAGAGAGGAGAAGGAGAGAAGAGGAGAAGGAGAAGGAGAGAAGGAGGAGAAAAGGAGGAGTGAAGAGAAGAGGAGGAAAAGCACTGAAGGAGAGGAGAGAAGGGAAAAAAGAGGAGAAAGGAGGAGAAAGGAGAAGAGAAAGGAGAAAGGAAAGGAGAAAAGAGAAAGGAAAGAAGAAAGGAGAAGAGAAAGGAGAAAGGAAAGGAGAAAGAAGAAGAGAAAGGAGAAAGGAAAGGAGAAAGGAAAGTAGAAAGGAGAAGAGAAAGGAGAAAGGAAAGAAGAGAGAAAGGGAAAGAAGAAGGAAGGAGAAGGAGAGAAGAAGAAAGAGGAGAGAATAAGGAAAGAAGAAAAGGAAAAGCATTGAAGGATTAAGAGAGAAGGAAAAGGAGAGGAGAAGGAGAGAAAGAGATGGAAAAGGAGAAGGAGAGAAGAAGGAGAAGAGAAGGAGAGAAAGAGGACAGAAGAGAAGGAAAAGTGAGAAGTAGAAGGAAAAGGAGAAGAATGAGGAGAGGAAAAGGAGAGAAGGAGAAGAAAAGCCTCTCCTAATATAAATCTCTCTCCTAATATAACTCAATCCCTGACCCTAACAGAGGATGCCTCCCTCACTCATCTCCACCTAAAGAAGAGCGGCATTCAATGGAACTTCCTTCCCGAGTCACGCCAGGAAGCAGAAAACTCGTGGAAAGAAATCCCAGGGATCTCCCAACTCCTACTTGTTGACAAAGGGACCCGTGGAAAGTTCGGCCACTTCCTAAACGGACCTTGAATGATGGCTGTTGTTGTTGCGGGAACGCCACGCACCCGCTTCCCTGGCCCTTGCCTTGCTGTAATCCCCCTGGTGTCCCCTTCACGAGGATGGTAGGGTTGGCTTTCCACGCTCTGCTCCTAATCCGCGCTGAACTTTCCTTCCTCCTCCTCCTCTTTCAAGGGGAAACTTGCAAGGGAAGGGAAGGAGGAGGGATGCGCCCCCCGCGCATTGAGAAGCGAGAGAAAAGGAACAAACAGAGAGACCCGACACTCCCGCTTGACTGCATGTAGACGGGGCTTTGTTACCTCACTTTGCAGCAATGCACTTCTTTAGTTCTCCATGCTCCAAGGGATCGGGAGGAAGCGGCGGGAGCAGCAGCAGCAGCAGCGGAAGAAAGGAAGGAAGGAAGGAAGAAAGGAAGAGGCAAAGAGAGAGAGAGACGGAGGAGCAGCAGGAAGGGAGGCGGACTCTCCTTGCTCTCTCTCTCTCCGCAGCATCCACCGGATTCTCGGCTTTGGCTCCGCAGGCTCCCAGCCCCGCGCCTGACGTCAAAGTCACTGTCACATGGCTCCGCGGGGGGCGGGAGGGGAGGGAGGGGGAGAAGCTAAGGAGTAGCCGCCGTCGCCCTGGCAACCCCGGCCCGCCGCTCTCGAGTAATGGCAAGGGCGCGCGCGCCGGCAGGAGCAAGAGCAGCAGCAGCAGCAGCCTCCTCCTCCTCCTCGTGCTGGGGACACGCCCGACGCCCATCCGGCAGGGCTCCTCCGAGCCACGCCGCAGGAGCCGGAAATCTCGAAGCACCGCCAGCTCCTAGAAGGTTACAAGACCAGCACAGCCCCACTCAAAAAGATACTGCAACCATCGCTTGAAATATTGCAAGAGCAGCATGCCCCCAAAATATTGTAGGACCAGCACCCCCCAAAATATTGCAAGACCGGCATCCCCCAAAATATTGCAACCATCTCTTGAAATATTGCAAGACCAGCATCCCCCCAAATATTACAAGACCAGCATTCCCAAAATATTGCAAGAACAGCATCCCACAAAATACGACATGACCAGCATTCCCCAAAATATTGCAAGAGCACCATGCCCCCAAAATATGACAAGACCAGCATCCCCCAAAATATTGCAAGACCAGTATCTCCCAAAATATGACAAGACCAGAATCCCACAAAATACGACATGACCAGCATTCCCCAAAATATTGCAAGAGCACCATGCCCCCAAAATATGACAAGACCAGCATCCCCCAAAATATTGCAAGACCAGTATCTCCCAAAATATGACAAGACCAGAATCCCACAAAATATTACAAGACCAGCATCTCCCAAATATTGCAAGACCAGGATCCCCCAAAATATTGCTAGACCAGTATCCCCCAAAATATTGCTAGACCAGCATCCCCCAAAATATTGCAAGACCAGCATCTCCCAAAACATTACAAGACCACCATCCCCAAAATATTGCAACCGTTCCTTAATACATTGCAACCACAGCTTCCCCCAAAATATTACAAGATGCTCACCCCCCCCCCTCAAATATTGCAACCATCCCTTGAAATATTACATGACCAGCATCCCCCAAAATATTGCAAAACTAGTATCCCCCAAAATATTGAATGACCAGCATCCCCCAAAATCTTGCAAAAGCAGCATCCCCCAAAATTTTACATGACCTGGACACACACACCCAAATATTGCAACCATCCCTTGAAATATTAAATGACCAGTCCCCCCCCCAAAAAAAATATTGCAAGACCAGCATCCCCCAAAATATCACAACACCTGCACCCCCCCCCCAAATATTGCAACCATCCCTTGAAATATTAAAAGACCATCATCTCCCACAATATTGCAGACCAGCACCTCCCAAAATATTAAAAGACCAGCATCCCCCAAAATATTGCAACCATCCCTTAATACATTGCAACCGCAGCTTCCCCCAAAATATTGCAAGGCCTGCACTCCCCCCCCCCCCAATACTGCAACCTTGTCTTGAAATATTACAAAACCAGCATCCCCCAAAATATTACAAGACCTGCATGCCCAAAATATAGCAACAGTCCCCTAAAATATTGTAATGGCACCAGCCCCAAAAGTATTGGATCACTGCCGGACAGTAAAATATCCCTTGAAACACTACAACCATCCCCTAAAAGTATTGCAACACCACCAGCCCCTAAAATATTATAAGACCAGCATTTCCCCGAAGTACTGCCTCTGAAATGTAGCCACCTTCTCCTGAGATATTTCAGCACTCCAGTCTCAAAATATAGCAACCATCTCATAAATTGCAACACCATCATCCCCTAAAACACTGCAACTATCCGCTAAAACAGTGGTTCTCAACCTGTGGGTCCCCAGGTGTTTTGGCCTACAACTCCCAGAAATCCCAGCCAGTTTAGCAGCTGTTAGGATTTCTGGGAGTTGAAGGCCAAAACATCTGGGGACCCACAGGTTGAGAACCACTGCACTAAAACATTGCAACACCACCAGCCCCCAAAATATTTCAAGACCAGCATCCCCCAAAATATTGCAATGCCAGCAGCCCCTGACATATAGCAACCTTCTCCTAAAATATTGCAGCACCCCGCCCCCAAAATATAGCAACCCTCTAATATTTTGCGACACCAACTTGCCCCAAAACTTAACAGCCACCCCCTAAAATATTGCAACATCACCAGCCCCTGAAATAGCAAAATCATCCGCTAAAATATTGCAGCAGCATCAGTCCCTAAAAATTTACAACCACCTGCTGAAATAGTTCAGCACCACTTTACTTACTTAGGCAATACCTCATTGGACGAGTAAGATGGTCTTCCTTGATGACTATTTTTGTGGATCCGTAGGTGGCTGTGGAGCCCTATTCTTGACCCGCATCTTCTCCCACAGTGAAGGCATTGGTTGCAGGTGGAAGGCGGTCCCGGTCGGGGTTGGCTTGATGCACCTTCCTCCTGGCACATTTCTCTCTTTCACCCTCCACTCGTGCCAGGGCTTCCCAGTTCTCAGTGTCTATGCCAGAGTTTTTAAGGTTGGCTTTGAGGCCATCTTTAAATCTCTTTTCCTGTCCACCAACATTCCGCACCACTAGCCCCTCCCCCAAATATAGGAACCTTCCCTGAAATACTGTAACACCAAAATCCCTTAAAATATTACAGCTTCATCATCCCCTGAGATATTGCACTATTACCAGCCCCTAAGATATAGCCAACAACCATCTGCTTAAAGACATCTCTCCTACACCATCAATTTTAAACTATGAATTTTAAATTTACATTCTGTTAGTATTGTGCTTTAATCTTCATAATATATAATTATCATATGCATTTTGGTATTGTGTTCCACTTCAAGCCATGAGAAGAGGAGGGTAACAAATACAGCACCATCCCCCAAAATATTGTTTTCTAGGAATTTGTGTGTGAAGGTATGTTTAATTTCATAGGACAAAAAAAACTGAGGTTCATAAAAGCTAATAGGATAAGAATTTGGCATTCCAAATCCAAAATGACCACAGAGTTGGGACCTAGTACCTATACATTTTTGACTACACTCTGATGTTGTTCAACTCCACACATCCTGGTTTTCATCTGTTAAATGTTGGATGATTTTTTGTGTGTGTCAGGAGAGACTTAAGAAACTGCAAGTCACTTCTGGTGTGAGAGAATTGGCCATCTGCAAGGACGCTGCCCAGAGGATGCCCAGATGTTTTACCTTTTCTCATGTCCCCGCATGAAAAGCTGGAGCTGACAGACAAAGCTCACCCCGCTCCCTGGATTCAAGCTGTTGACTTTTCCGCCAGCACAAGGGTTTAACTCATTGCACCACCAGGGGCTCTATATATATCTACAGCCACCTACAAACCCACAAAAATAGTCATCAAGGAAGACCATCTTACTCGTCCAACAAGGAATCGCCTAAGTAAGTAATACTGTATATCTGTCTCATCATACTAGAGAAAAAATCCATTTAAAATCCGGTTTCTGCCTCCTGCAGAATTCTGGGGTTCATAGTTTAGGGAGGATTCTTCAACAGCCTCACTAAACTACAAACCCCGCAATTCTGCAGGAGGCAGAAATGGGGTTTTAAATGGATTTTGTCTCTAGTGTGATGAAGGGAGGATAAAATTCTCCTTGAACAGCACCACTTCAAAAACAGGTGGGGAGTGGGGGATGCACGATAGACTGCAAAAAGTTGGACTATATAGTTCTTGGGTTCCCTTCCAGTTCTATATTCCTGTAAATAAATGTTGTATACCTTCAAACTTTTTTTTACTTATGGCAAACCAAAGGTTGGTGGGGCTTTCTCGGCAAGATTTACTCAGATGGGAGTTGCCTTTGCCTTCCTCTGAGACTGAGAGAGTTTGAGTTCTTATATATCTATGTATAATACCACTGATTTCATTTCATTTCAGATTTTTCAGATGTAGTAGGAACCTCTAGTTTCTATATACAGTATAGGGAAATATTCAAACATTTGATTCTGCAAACCTCACTCCAAAGTATTGCACAGAGGCATAGCTTGAAGCACAATGTTACTGTCTTCTGTGCTGTTTATGCACAGTCACACAACCTATTTCACACATTCTTCTTCATGAGCTTTTAAAGCAGGAGCCATGCTGTAATACAACAGTAGTTGTTGGTATGAGTTATGTGTTTGTGTGTGGCTGTTTTATGCAATAACTATGCATCTTAAAGTTAGATAATACTTGGGGGGGAGGGAGGAGTAAAGGCTTCCCCTGACGTTACGTCTACTCATGTCTGATTCTGAGGGGGGGAGTGCTCATCTCCATTTCTAAGCCGTAGACACCTCCAAGGTCATGTGGCCAGCATGACCGCATGGAGTGCCGTTATCTTCCCACAGAAATGCTACCTGTTGATCTATTCACATTTGCATGTTTTCGAACTACTAGGTTGGCAGAAGCTGGGCCTAACAGCAGGAGCTCACCCCACTCCCTGGATTTGAACTGCCAACTTTTCGGTCAGCAAGTTCAGCAGCCCAGTGGGTTAACCCGCTGCACCACTGGGGGCCTTGATAGGGCAAACATTTTCTAGTGATAAAATATTTTAAAACATTTTTCTCCTGTTTTGTTTTGGTTGCATAATCTGTCCTACAACCCAATGTGTAACTTGCTCTTCTGCTCCACCAGTATTTCTAGAAGGCCATTATAAGATTTCTTGCAATAGATCAAGGAGGAAGAACATCAGAATATCTTTTTTGTTTCCTTGTGGTGGGAATTACTAGAATGTTGCTAGTCTGAATTTTAAGTCATAAAATTATGACTTACCTCAATGGAAAAAGGAAACAACCAAATTACATATTGAGTCATGCAGGCTTTGAAACCGAAGCTATAAAATATGTCACAATCCCCCCCCCCCCCTTCCCATTTGCTGCAGACTGGCTATAAAGGAGTGATTGTTTAAATCAGCTGAACTGGAAGGTAATTCTCCACTGAATGCAGCATTATGAGAAAAGTCCTGAGCGATGGGAAAAGTCCTCTGCTATCCATCCTAGTTCTTCCCTTTAGCAGTGCTGATTTCTGTTCCCAAGAACGGAGGAAAAAT